ACAATTTCTGGACAGCCAATCCATGCCCAGAATAACCTCCAAGTTGGCCATCGGTAACCCTATCAGATCTACCGAGAATTCACGACCATCCCACTGAAATGCCACATCGCGATGAACAGTGGTAGCATCACATCTTTCTCCGGTGGCGGTGGTCACCCGCATCGGTGGAGAAAGCACATCACTGGGCAACTCAAGCCCCACAGCAATCGGGGTAGCAACAAAAGAATGCGTAGCCCCAGAATCAAACAACACATCAACAGCTGATGAACCAATCGTAACAGTACCTCTGACAAGGTTCGGAGCTCGATCCGACTGCTGACGATCCAGAGTATAAACTCTCCCAGAAGATGGTGGCACTACCGGTGCCGAAGTAGGTGGAAGGGGAACCATCTGAAGTGGCACTGCCTGCACTGCAGTAGCCCTCGTCGTCGCCGACGGACAATCTCTGGAGAAGTGGCCCTCCTTGCCACACTGAAAGCAAATCAACTGGCCGGTAGAGCACGACCCAAAATGAGTCTTCCCGCATCCCGAGCACCTGGGAGCAGGAGGTCTCGCTGCACTCCCCTGAGCAAAAGTCCTCTTGAACTGACTCGGCGCCTGCCGAACTGCCAACTGTTTACCCTTGCCCTTGTTCCCAAACTTCCTGTCTCGCCAAGAAGTGGAACTACCAGCTGCAACCTTCGTCGCCTCAGCAACCTTGGCCTTCTTGGCCTTACTCGAGCTGTAGAAATCTTCAATTTCACGACACTGCTGAACCAGTGTCCCAAAATCTCTAGAAGCAGAACCAGCTAGGTAACCAGCAATATCCTCACTAAGTCCCCTACGGAACTTAGCAGCCAGAAATGTAGGAGTAGGCCTCACCATCCTGAAGTGTGCAAACTTCACCAACTGGTTGAACTTGGCCAAGTACTCGTCCACAGACAACGAGCCCTGAACCAATCTGTCGAACTCTCCCTGCTGCCTCTCCTGAGCGTCATATGGAAAGTACTGACCCAAGAAGAAGTCCTCAAACAAAGGCCAAGTCATCACATGACCCTGCGTCTCGTAGACATGAGAAAGGTTTGTCCACCACTCATGGGCATCGCCCTCCAGCATGTAAGTAGCGAACATCAACTTCTGCAGATCTGTGCACTGCATGACTCGAAAAATCTTGTCCAACGCCTGAAGCCAATGTGCCGCAGCAACAGGATCAAAAGACCCATCAAAGGCAGGTGGCTTATGCTTACGGAAAGCATTCAGCCGGCGATCGATCTCCTCACGATCCTCAACAAAAACAGGGACGGTCTGCATGGCCCCCGTAAGATGACTGCCATCTCCCATCTGACTCTGAGAGTCATCCTGCAGACTGGGTGGAGGTGGTGGTGGTGGTGGCGGTGGAGGTGGTGGCGGTGGAGCATGACCAACATCAGGGCCATTCCTCATCTCCTCCAACATGACTCTAAACATCGTCATGTTCGCCAGACGGTTGGCCTCCAACACGTCCTCCGTGGCCTTCCTGTTCGCCTCTCTGACGGCGTCCAGCATGGCCTGGTGTGCCATTCTCATGGCCTCCTGGTCGGCTAGTCGGGCCGCCTGCATCTCAGCTAATGCAGCCAGGACGGAATCGGGCCGATCCTCCGAAGTCTCGCGGTTTCACCCGGGTCTTACCATGATTCTGCACAAGTTACAAAAATTATGAGTTGATCAGGCCCACGCAATGTGGTCACATATGCATTATCACAATAATACTCGACGGAGCAAACACACAAAACAGACACAACCAAACATCCTAATCATTGCAATACATACAGGCTTTTCTGTAGAACCGTTGCTCTGATACCATAAAATGTAACACCCCGTGTATACCCGGAATATTAACATTATATCGTATTAAGCGGTGCTTAATTAAAAATGCGGAATATTCTTTTTCTTTTCAATTATGACGTCATTATCAATTACCAACTTGATTACTTAATCAGTTTCATAAAATATCGTCTGTATGTAAATTGCAATAAGACATCTACTGAAATACCTCAATATATAGATAAAGTGTGTATCTAAATCACGACATTACATCAAGTAATCCGGAAAATATCCTGATACATTATTACAACTCCAAAAGACTAAAGACATAACCAAGACATAATAATACTATGTGTCATGGACAATCCCCATGCTCACCAAATAACATAGTAAACAACAAGTCTCAACATAAAACTCCATAAACATAAACTGAAGCTATAAGCATAAGCAGCATGCAAATTCAGCATCCAATCATGGCAGCATAATATAACAGCAATCTAACTCAGCTCCGGCCTCCTGCCGCCTGAGGTCTCAACATTACCTGACCCTGAAATAAGCATTCCCCAAACGTGGGGTGAGATCTCTAAACTAGAAATCTCAGTAAGACAAGGGGTCCTCAAGGATCTTCCACCCCAAGCTCACTTACATGTGCAATATAAGTTCAAAAAACATTTATATCATTATCAGTTCCAAAACTATGTAGTGCAACAAATATCTATGGCATGTGTGTAATCACTATCTACTGGCCAGAGAAATGTAGGAATACGTCTATTCCCTACATGTAGTACAAGGAACACCGCTTGCACCTCACCCACAGCCTCACCCTCTTGTATGTTCTACATACTCAGGCTTACCGTATAGGTGGAACACCTCCATGCATATCAACAAGGCACTAACATATAATAGCTCAACAGCATTTCCAAAACATCAAAAGCATGTAACACAACATGCATATACCATATCCCCATGGGACATGGTGGAACCACAACATGGTTAAACCGAGGACACAAAAGCTTACCTCTAAGCTAGCTATCCAATGCCACAAGCTCAAAGTCCAATCACAGCAGATCACAATCTGATATGGACCAAATATAAATCAATAAACATGTACCACATGCATACACATTGAAGACAACGCCTTTTCATTACGTTTTCAAGTCTTAAAGCTTCTAACAAAGCCACAAGCCCTTAATCTCATGATTCTGGCTTAATCCATTAAATACAAAAGTTCAACTTCATCAATCTAGGGTCCACAAACCCCCAATAGCCTACTGTATGCGCAGCTACTGTTCTGCGAAATCCCAGAATATCCGGATACTCCTCGGGACCATATCCGGATATGCAATATCCGGATATCTCACTGTACATATCCGGATATTCAATATCCGGATATCCAGAATCTCATATCCGAATATACAATATCCAGATATCCCAAAACCCCATATCCGAATACATATATCCGGATATCATATCCGGATATTCCACGGGCAGATATCCGGATATTTCACGACAGAATGCAGTTTCTGCATTTCCGTGAAGATATCCCTTAAAGGTTCCCTTTTACCGATTTTAAACACCTAATCATGCATTTCTAGGTGTGTTAAGCCTTACCCAACAACAAGTTATCATCTTTTAACCTTAACATGCATCAAGCTTCCATTTTTAAGCCTTAAAACTCAAGTTAAAGGTTGGTACAACATACCAAGACTCAAAACTCAGAATGGAGATGCTCTTGAAGCTCAACACAGCTCCTCACAATTCTGATTAAGAAGGTGCACGAAAATGCACAACAAGATGACTCCTTTCTCCACAAAGATAGGCACTTGGAGTTCACCAATGGCAAGACCAAGGCTTCCACTACTCAACCTCCAAACTCAGCCCTCAAGACTGACTCAAACAGTGGCTAAGACTCAGAAAAGACCCTCATTTCACTCCCACAAGGCTGCTCCCAAGTGTTTACAAGGTGGAAATGTGAAGAAACTCAAGAAAGATCACAACTTGGCTCAAGAAATGGAAGGGAAAGCCAATGGAACAGTAACCAGCAAATAGTCAGCCCCAACTCACATAGAGAAATCTGATCCTAGGGTTTTGTGCCCATAATGGGAGTATTTAGAGCCAAAACTCACTTAAGCATACAGTATTAACTTTAATTGCTACGCTTAGCATTTTAACCCCAAACTTTGGATTATGAAACTACCTAATTTTCTAAGAATTAACATATTTTTCTTATAATTTTCTGAGCAACTTTCCGGTACGCGCTTTTCCAAGTCAGTACCTATTTCTAGCACCAGTTCTCATTATTTGGACTTGAAACTCGTTTTAAAAGTCCTACATATTATTCTAGTAATTATCATGCACTTACTTTAATTTTCCGGGATACTTTTTTGGTACACAATTATACCGACTAGCAGAACCGGTATATGCACTTTTCTTCCGAAAAGCGACTTTCAGCATTCTTAATCACTTATTATGATTATTAAGCCTCATAAATAATTATTAGGGTCAATTATGGAATCATTTCTTATTTTTGCATAATTAATTAATTAAATACCTTAATTAATGGTGCGGGTTCTTACAAGTCTCACTCATCATAAACCTGACCATGTCTAACAAGGTTCTATTTCTCCTTTCGGAGACACTGTTTTGGTGTGGTGTGTAAGGTGCAGTAAACTGTGAGAGAATTCCATTTTCTCTCAGATAATCCTGAAACTTATGGCTCAGATATTCACCACCACGATCTGATCGCAATGTCTTAATCATCTTGCCACGCTGTTTCTCTACTTCATTCCTAAACTCTTTCAATTTTTCAAAAGCTTCGGATTTATATCTCATTTGGTACACGTACCCAAATCTCGATTTATCATCAGTAAAGGTAATGAAATATGAGTATCCTCCTCTAGCCTCTATAGACATTGGGCCACAAACATCAGAGTGAATGAGTTCTAATAACTCACTAGCCCTATGACTCTCAAGCCCTTTGGGCTTGTGACGAGTCATTTTCCCAGGTAGACAAGATTCATATTGTCCATAGGATTCCAAATCCATGGAATCTAGGTATCCATTTGCATGCATCCTAGACAATTTTGTTTCGTTTATGTGCCCTAGTCTATATTGCCAAAGATAAGATTGATTATCTGTCCTAGGTCGTTTAACATCTACATTGAGCACTTCAGTTCCCATTTCTAAAACATATAAGCCATTTATTAAAGAAGTAGTACCAAAAACAATATCATTCGAAATGATAGAAAATGTATCATCCCTAATAGTGAAAGCAAAACCATCTTGTTCTAAACAAGAAATAGAAATAATGTTTCTAGAAATGCTAGGAACATAAAGACAATTATTCAAATGCAATAAAAGGCCCGTAGGCAAAATGAGGTCGGTATCTCCAACAGCATAAGCAGCAACTCTTGCTCCATTACCAACGCGGATGTCCACCTCGTTCTTCTCCAATCTTCTAGGGCTCCGAAGCACCTGCAACACATTGTAGATATGAGAACCAAAACCGGTATCCAATTCCCATGAAGTCGGATTAGCACAAGAATAATTTATCTCAATCATGTAAATAACTGAGGTAGAAGCATCACCATGCTTCTTGTCCTTCACACTCTTCAGGTAGTCTGGACAATTCCTCTTCTAATGGCCATTCTTGCCACAATGGAAGCACACAACATCGCTTTTGTCCTTGGGTGCACTCTTACTGTAACACCCTCCCTTGTATGCATCCAAGAGAATTGTTGACTAAGGGGATTAGAGTTCTTTTGACATATTTAATTTTGCTGAAAAATAATTTTGATGTTGCTAATTAAAACTTATAATTGAAATCGGGCTACTTACGAAAAATTAGAGTATACTTTAAAATTTCTTAACTTGCTGAAAATATTATTTTCCTGGCAGACGTTGCTGTCTTGAAAAATTCGTATAAAATCAACTCCAACGATCCACAAAAATATTCTTTGTTACATAGAAAGAGCACGTCTGGGGCTTCGCGTGCATATTAAATAATATCAAATCGGAGTTCGTTTGCCCCTCGTAACATAACTCGCGAAGTGCTCGCAAAACTGTTTATAATTCAGCACTTAGCAAAACATTCAGAAATTATTTTCGCAAAATGATTTCAGAATTATTTCAAAGTACTAGATAACCATAAAAGTCTCACAACAGCAATAAAATCATAGTTCCAGCAGTAGTCTATGGTTCTCAACATAACAATAGTACAGTCATCCAACGTCATCCAATAGACAAAATAGCAGCAAGTTCAAACAGCAGCAATTAACAATAAATATCCAAATAATCCATGTCCTCATATGCTCTTTCGTCCTCCTGCAATTTTATAAAAATTGCAGCCCCAAAGGGGTGAGAAAAATCCCAATAGTGTGATAGCAAAACCAATAATGCAACATTATTAAACTAGACACAAAATTATAAAACAGTCGGATCAACATTTCATTTTCTTGATAAATCTTAACATTACATAGTGCGTATATAACGTCATCATTACGCTCTTAGCACCATCGTGCGCGTACTTAACATATCATAGTGCATATATAACGCCATCATTACGCTCATAGCACCGTCGTGCGCGTATATACACAGTGGATATTCCATAATGGCTCCCTCAAAGGTGAATTCCAACTGTGGCCTATGCGGACGGAAGCCAAGTGTCCCATACCCTGGTACCCGAGGGATGCCTATATGATGCGTGCTCAAAAGAATGCATATTTATATAGATATTATTATTAGCCAATGCAACATGAAATTTATGCACGTATGTCATGCTATGCTTTCACACACACAAAAGAAAAAGGATGCATAATGAATATGCATGACTAGATCATCATCATAATACCATATCTTTCATGTACTTTTAATACCAAGCATCATCATCATCATATTAACATATATTTCATGCATTTTCAATACCAAGCTGCTGCATAACAATTACTTCTCATAGCAGAATTTCCATCTCGTCACATTCATAGGCAGCATACATATAGCATATGAAAGCACATTAACCCAAGGCACATGTGAGCAACAATTCACAATTATATACGCTAGCCAATAGTCACATTAGGTAATACCACCAAACACTTACCTTGCATGCCCAAATATAAATCAAACAGCAGCAAGAATCAGTCCACACACTAGTGGTGATTCGCACCTAATCAACCAAACCAAAACAGAATTTCAGACTGTGATTCCTAAAATTTACAAGTGCTATCTATGTTTCCAAGCCTTAGTATTTAAACGATTTCCAAGAGTCTTTTATTAACTTGTTGTTCTGACTTCATGCCCTTTTTATTAACTAGCCAACAGCGAAAATCCAAGGTTCCTCATGCATGGCCGTTCGGGTTTTAACTCCAAAAAGACTCACGATATTTTCTACTCACAATTTCAACTCACTACTTAAGGTGCGCTAATAGGGACCTAGAACAGGCTGTTACATTTATTTAATTCATACAAAGTTGATACAGTAGTATATTCCATCACCAGATGCCTTATTCTGTTTTAACAAAACACTACTTTCATCACTTATACATGAGCTAATTAGATTATTCAACATGCTGCCTTCATGAGTTAAAACACATGCAATGCTTGAATCAAATCGGGTTTCATGGTTCTTGCACTAATTTAATTATTTTGACTTAGGGCTTATTTCTCCTCTAGATCATAAGCGACATAATCATAATCTTCCATGCATGTAGGTTCGGTTTCTTGTCCATAACTTAAGTGCCCCACCTTTTTCATTTAAATAACCATGTTTACAAGATTTAGTGTGTGCTAATGAGACATACAACATGCTGTCCCATTGTATTTACCACAGGTTAAGCTAGATACAATGACTTAGATTAATGAACAGTCTCCAATTTACAAGAGTTATTATTACATATAATTTTCTAATAATTTACCGACTTCAAATATGTATTATCAACTAGTTAAAAATGACAAAATCCTAGGTTGTTCTAAGGGCATAATTTAAAGGAAGAAGCATATTCATAACAATCCTATCTTCCTAGCATACGAGAGGGGGCCGAGACATGAAGACAAGTATTAGGAATAACAAAACAAATTAATTTTCTAAACCAAGGGACAGTCCAACAAGGTAAAACAATGGCTACTTCTAAGCTCACAAAGAGACCAATTTCATGTTACAGATATTAATTTCGAGGCCGTTCCCAAGATCAATTTTAAGACTTACATGGCTGTTCACAGAATTCCATTTAAAACTTACAGGGCTGTTCTAACGAGACAGATTCCAATGGAAATTAAATGGCCAAAATAAAATGTTCTCCAACCCACATATAAAGGCCGAAAATGTAGAAGCAAGAAAAGATTGTGTACGTGACTTACATCTAGTAGTAGGGCACCCATAGTGCACAATTTGGCTGGAGAATTCAGCGGCCCCATGGTGCTCAATTCCCCTCCTATTCCACTCATCAAGGTACGGTTCTTAGGCCGCACGCATACTGGTTCATGGTTTGAACAGGATTGGGAAAGAGTTAAAAAAAACAAAATTTCTTCCCTATGTGTCACAAGTCAGCCGAACAGTGAGAAGAGAAAAGAAACTTGAAGCCTACTTACAGGTTCCCATACGCACCAAAGGCCACAACCAAGCAAGGAGCAGCCCCATCCCTTTTCCTATGTTCCAAGGGTGCGCATTCATCTGCATGCAAGGGGAAGAGACTCAATTACCGCTGGACCAAGAGCATGCAACAGAAGTTTCCAATCAGAATTTGTCCAGAAGAAAGGAAACAAGAAACAACAAGAGGACATCTCACCTCTTTGAGAGGTGTCTCAGCCGAATCAGTGAGATGAGAGTCTACTTAGTTATTTATAGTCTTTGCATGTGCCTCACTGTTTGTGGAGTAGGGTAAGGAAGGAATATAAGTATTTTCTTCCTTGATTGCTTCTTTGATGATTCACGGCTAATGGATAAGCGAGAAATAAAGAAAAGTGTAACTTAGGTTCAAGAGGTCCTTGGCTTAGCAATTTCACGGTTTGTGAGTGGAACAATAATCGGCTTGATGCTGTATAGAGAGGAGTAAACACTCAGCTTTGTTTTCCCTCACTCAACGCAAGAAGGAAGAGAGACTAAGAGATGGCTGGTTGGATTTTGACAATGTGCTGCAAATTCAGAACTTTCTCTTCTTTCTCCTTGGCTGCGTGGTGAAGCAAGGCTGAGTGGCTTTGGGCAATGATACAAGTAACCAGAATTCCCTTTTTTCCATTGTACCATGCGCATGAAAGGGATAAAGGGGAACAAGTGGTTGATTCTAGACCAATAATAAGCCAACATGTAGATTTTGTTTAGGATGAGATAAGGAATCATATGGAGAAAGTATCTTGGGCTGAATTAGGCTTCAAATTTGGAGACTTGGGTCGTGGCCCCTTTAAGATTCATAGGGTCAAAATTTCAGCTTCTTAGTAAATCAACTATCTCAAGCCATGTTTTACTAACAATTATCCCAAGTACCTCCTATATAATAACTTGGGTTCTATTATGTTGTAATCCAAATCAATCCTACACTGAATGTATATCGGACTCGCATTTAAAACACGTACCCACGTTACTTGTTGTAATTATATATGTGTTCCTAATTGTGCGGGATGTTACACTTACTTTTCTTTTTGCCTTTCTTTTTATTGGGTTTTCCTTTGGGCTTAAGGGAGTTGCCTTTTGCAGGCTCCTTGCCCTTACCCTTGGCCTTTTTAGACTTACCAATCAGAGGAGCTTGTGTCTTATCTTCTTGATAGACACTTCAACAGTTGTTAACATACTTAACAACTCTGGCAAGCTCACAAGCATCCCATGCATGTTGTAATTCATAATGAATTCACTGAAAGAAGGAGGAAGTGATGATATAACTAAGTCATTAATTAATTCAGCATCCATTATGAAGCCTAGACCCTCTAGCTTCTCAATGAGCGCTATCATCTTCATGACATGGCAGTTAAAAGACATGCCTTCAGTCATCTTGCATAGGAATAATTCCCTAAAGGTCTCATACATCTCATGCCTATCCTTCTTATCATACAACTCCTTGAGATGAAGGACAATGGAGGGGGCATCCATATGCTCGTGTTGTTTCTGCAGCTCGTGTGACATGGATGCCAGCATGATGCAACAAGCCAACACATTATCATCCATGTGTTGCTTGTGGACCTCGAATTCAAATTTCGCGAACCCATCTTCCCCTTCTTTAGGCGCAATAGGTAAAACAGTGTCAAGGACATAATCAACTTTTTCAGCCCGCAGAACATTTCTAACGTTCTGATACCAGTCCATAAAATTAGGACCGGTTAATTTGTTCGTATCGAGTATTGAGCGCAGTGACAGTGGATTAGTCATACTAAAAACTGAAAAAATGTAAAGATAGATTAATTAATATATATTGTCGTGTAATAAGAGCAAACTATTAAATAATATGCCCCTCTGTTGTCAGATTAGCAAGTGTACTAGTCAAATAAGTAATAAAATGATGAGTAAAGATCGTTCCCACGAGGAATTGTGTCAAGCACTGACTAACCAAATATTGTTAAGTTGAATCAACCAAAAGATTATGAATTGCATTTATTTCTTGTCACCAGAAATTAAATTTGAATAAAATTAAAGAATTGATAAACAAATAAAGTGTGAATATAATTTAAAACAAGTAGTCAGATGTCAATTTCCCTCAAGAATGAATTTATGGATGAACTAATTTCCATGATGAATATCTACTATGTAATGTTGATCAACCTTTTTCTTATCATCAAGATGTAATGTCTTACTACCTTGATAGACACATTAATTAGAAACCCCAATGTCTTGGTGATTCCTTTCTTAATACATGCATTAATTACTAAGGTCTTAAGATCACATCAGAAATCCTAGCATCAATGTCTTGACTACTAGAACACTGATGATGAAGTTGTCAAATATATAAACAATGTAAACATGTCTGTTCTACACTACTCCTTAACATGAAGAATTAATCAAGACAACTTCATATATATCACATAATAAATAAACAAGACATCTAATTAACCATTCATAAATTCAAACTTGAGTTCCATTGAATCAGACTACAAGAACTCTACTCAGACATAATTGAAATATAAACAAAGGAAGAAGAAATATCAAACTCCATTGTCATGATAGTAAGTCTTCAATCTTCAAGTGCAATTACATAGGAAACTAACTAATACAAGAACTAAGTCCTAAAGAATTTGGAAAGTAAGAGAGAGAAGTCAGATCAGAGGATCTGATATGGGAGAGAGAGATAGAATCAACGATATGACAAATGTGAAGGCCTTTGCCTTTTATAGTGTTACAAATTATAGCTGAAAACTAACATGGGCGCTAAAACGTTCATGAATGGGTGTTTTAGCATCCATGTTTGACGGATGCCCAACTGCTTTTAACTAACTTGGGCGCTAAAACGTGAACTGTTGAACGTTTTAGAGTCCATGTCTGGTGAATGCTCAACTGCTTCCAACTGACTGCAACGCTAAAACACTTGGTTTGGACATTTTAGCGTTCGAGACTAGAGTCTTTTTCCAACAGCAGGGCGCTAAAATGTTTGATCAGGAAGTTTTAGCGCCCATGACCAGCAACTTTTGTCCTCAGATTGCAGCAACGCGCTAAAACGTTTTGTGTGAATGTTTTAGCGCTCAGCACCAGCAACTTTTGTCCTTCGTTTGCAGCAGCGCGCTAAAACGTTCTGTGTGGATGTTTTAGCGCTCAACACTTAGGCATTCTCCCTTTCTCCAGAATCTTCTTCTTTCTTTCTGCTGCTCCTTAAGCATCATTTCCCTACAAGACAATGTAATTTTTCAACAAAGCTTTCAGAACTTGTACTTGAGGGAATTCCAGGACATTAACCTCTTTTTCATCCAATTAATCACACAAATTGATACTAATTCATGCTGAAAAACCTGATGAACTAGGGGTTTATCACCCTCCCACTATTTTATCTAAGTCAACGACTTAGGGTTGTTCAACTTTTAGATTTTACCTTAGTGGGATTTTAAGAATGCGATTAATTATTTTAACCCTCGTCTGAGACCGCAAGATTAAATTAAATAATGGGTTGATCTTTATCAATAGTATCTCACCTCTCTTAACATTAGGTTGACAACTCCTTGTCACTTAGTGGTGCATCTCATGCAACCAACCTAGCACTATTACCCTAAGCACATCAGCCTGGCTGAGCCAGCAAATCATGTTCTCAGTTAAGCACTAACCAGCACCCTAAGTGTCTAACACTTCTAATGTTGGGTCCCAACTGAGTTGTGGAGCACCACTATTTAGAGGAGGTTTGAGTAATATTGGTGGTGGGAGGTAATCATGCACTTAATAATTAATTCCTTTAAGGGTTCCTTTTATTTAGGGTTTACTAAGTCTCATCAAACACATATGTATTATTATCATGTTAATCGTAACCTATGTCAAACATCTATCGGATTACACTAGTCGTAATTGGACGTGCACGATTGTTGTAAATAATATTGATTTAGTTATTATTTAGTTTTTATTTAGTCATTTATTGTTGTATTGGGCCAAGCCCTTTGTTGTATTGGGCCAAGCCCATTAGGTTAAAAGTAGGTCAAATATTCTCTATAAATAGAGAACCCTTTGTACATATTATTTACAATTCTATAATATATTCGAATACCCTTCTTCAAGTTGGTATCAGAGCTCTCGATCTGAGGGCTTTGCTTCCGCACATATTATCTTCTTTTTTAACAAAACCCTAATTTCTTTGCCTTTTGCCGCCATCAGCCGCCACCGGAAAATTTTTCCGGGGACCTTTTGGACCAAGGGAACCATTGTTGACCTTATTTTTCCTCCGATCTATCATTTTACGCACTGTTCCTCCGCCACAAACGATCGAAACACCTCCGACCGCCTCCAATCAGATCTGTCTTCACCGTTTGGACAACTTTCCGGTGACTTTTCAACCGAGACCACCCACAGACAGGTGCGCGCTCACCGGACGACCACACCAGAAAAATCTCAGCCGGCGAAGCCCCTCCACGCGCTCTCACGCGCCGCCCCTTTCCCGGAGAGTGAATCCCACGCGTAGCTCCTTTCTCCGGCGCGTGCGGCTGTGTTTTTGGACCAGACCACCACCATTCTTCTCGTCTTCTCGTCTTCTGTCTGGATCTGTAATTATTTTTTCTGATCAGAGGTCATTTGATATTCTGTTTGGTTGATTTTATTGCTGGTTGTTAACTTTTTTTGTTAAAGAATGGCCGAGCATGATAGTTCTTCGATCTTATTTGGTAAGAGCACACGTTCTATATCTCTTCTTGCTTCTTGCACTGATTTTAAAACCTCATGGATTTTGGATTCTGGTGCAACTGATCATATGGCTTGTCGTACTGAGTTGTTTTGTTCTTATCATCCTACTGTTGGTAGTCATACTATATCCGTAGCTGATGGATCCCATAAATCAGTTATTGGTTCTGGTAACATTCAAATTCAACCTTCCTTGTTTCTTAAAAATATTCTTTATGTTCCTCAGCTTTCTATTAATCTTATCTCCACTCAAAAACTTACAACTGATTTGAATTGTTCTATCACATTTTTTCCTTCTCATTGTCTTATTCAGGATCTTACCACGAAGAAGACAATTGGAGTTGCTAATGAACAGGATGGGTTGTATCATCTCCTTCCAGACCATGCTAGCAAAAATCAGTTATTAATGACACGTCATCCTTCTACTGCAGAGTCTATGATTTGGCTCCATCACAAGCGTCTGGGGGCATCCACCATTTAGTCTTTTGAAGTCTATGTTCCCCTCTCTATTTCTCAATAAGTCGGTTGAGACCTTTCATTGTGATGTTTGTGAATTTGCAAAGCACTATTAAAAGCAGGGAACCTTTTTCTCTTATCCATTCTGATGTTTGGGGCCCTTCTAAAGTGCACAGTGTTTCAGGTGCAAGGTGGTTTGTTTCTTTTATTGACGATTGTACTCGGATAACATGGATATACTTGATGAAAGACAAGTCTGAAGTACCAGAGATATTTATTCGGTTTCATCACATGGTTGAGACTCAGTTTGGTAAGGGTATTAAAAGACTCAGATCTGATAATGGTACTGAGTACGTCAATCAACGCCTGTCACAATTCATTTCAGACAAAGGTATGATTCATGAGCTCACATATGTTGATACCCCTCAACAAAACGGGGTTGCTGAAAGGAAAAATCGTCACCTTCTTGAAGT